CGCGGCCCCCCCCCCCCCCCCCCCCCCCTCCCCCGAAAAATTGGCGGACGATTTGCGTGCGATATCTATCCAACTTTGCGGCAACTACATAGCTCTTAAAGCAAGCAGTTCATAACGGGAACAAGAAAGCTATTCCTTCAACTCGACCAATGCTATCTTTCCTGGTGCTTTTTATTTCCACTCGCTGCTTCCATAGTCCACCAGCAGGCCCGCGAGCGGGCCGGCCGGCCGACTATGGAAGCAGCCACTCACTGGGTAACAAGGCAGTTGTCAACAAGAATTTGTCTCGCTGAGAGAATCAGACGGTGAAGCAGTCTCTGTGTGCCATATCCACATGTAGGAGGGCGTGTCCGCTCGGAGTCCGTCGCAGTTTACTCGAGAGCGTTCTCCCGTCAAGAGCGGACATTTGAAGGGGTACACGAGTCGAAAATGGAGAGCCGAACAAGCCAAGGAGATTTTGTACTTTGGATTGATAATGGCGAGAAAAGGAAATGGAAATGGGGATAATTGTGATGTGGTTTGCCGAGGGTTGTTGGTTTGGAACTGAATGACCAGATTAAATACTTTGAAAGAAAGGTCTGTCATCCGTTTTTTGCTATGTCATCAAACAGCTGCATAAGACCTTCACACTGACAAAATATCCTTCTAACATTACACAATATTCATGTTTTTCCTTTGTATAATTCAAGTGCCTGATAATTTCAAGGGTCGCACATCGACCGACAGCTAATCAGCCACTTGTCTCCACTATTTCGTCTAAAAATAGCTGCAATGAGCCATAAAAGTGGCTGAACTGCAGTGAGGTCGCTAACCCTCGTGAAAATTTAGATGTGGGGGCCACCGCTTCTATCAACATTGAGTGTCAGAGAGCTGAAAAGGAACTCAGCCAACTTTACCGATGCTCAGGGGCGGCTCTTAACAAAAAATTATAGTTTGCACCAAAGGTCCTCGAATAGGATAGCACCGGGCAGGTAAAATTGTTACCTCGCGCAGAAAGTTGCGATGGGGCAAGAATTGAACATTCAATTGACTCACCCACCCTGATCCTCCTTTCCAACTAAGGATTATTCTCAAAAAACCATATTTTCTGGCACCAGTATGAGCTCGCTAAATCGGCCATCCCTTCTCTAGCGCTCAATGTTGGATGATACTTCGGCATTCTCGTCATTTTTGCTTGGAAACTGAAAAGTAAGCGTAAGATTACGATAGTTACTGTCTGTATGCAGTGACAGGCTGTGGAGTATGTATGTATGCATGTATGTATGTGAGTGGAAAAGAAAAGCACCAAGGAAAGGCAGTACAAATAGAGTTGAAGGATCTGGTCTCTCACTCTTGGTCCCAAACGAACTACCTGATTTATAAGCCAGATAGTTGCCGCAGTAAATGAATTGATCCCGCGCACAACTCGTCCGCCATTTTTTCGGAGTGTAGGTTTAGGTGCGTGGACTCGCAGCTAGACCTACCCCTGTTGTGAAGAAACAGTCGCCGATACACAGGAGCCGTTTGTTACATTGGGAACAACAAGAAGTGATTGATGAACCTCACTCCAGAGAGGGGTCTGTATACTACACATAATTATATTGATACTAGGTCAATGAGCGGCGAAAACACTCCCGCCCCGAAAAAAGATGAACGCCTCTTCTTCTTTTTCTTCTTCTTCTTCTTCCTCTACTTCTTCTTCTCCTTCTTTTTCTTCTTCTTATACTTAATCCTAATGCTACGAGTTACTGCTTTTCTTCCAGACATTATCTTCCCTAATTTCGTGTTCATTGGGTAAAGTCCACTAAGCAATGTCGAGGAATGGAAATCAGAGGAAAGGATCAATTGCCAAAAGTGGTCCATACCAATAAGAATTCCTCTGCATCCGTAATTTTTGGATGCCGAAAAGCTGTGGTCAATCTCGTTCGGTAGAGACTGGAGGTCGTAGGACAAGGCAGGGATTTTGTGAGGAAACGAAGGGCTTGTACTTTCATAGGGTGTAAGGAGTTGATTGGTAATAGAATGCAGATATTGTGCTGCTTCGATGATACTGTCTGAGCCTCCTTATTTCTGAATGTGTAAAGCGTGATGACCTTTCCCTTGGTTAAGCTTAGTTCCATCTTCTCAGCAATCTCTGTTGTAATATATGGATGTGTTGACCCACTATCCAGAAAGCCAAGGTTCTTGTTGTCTTGCTGTTGTCATCCGTAATTACTAGTGTGATTTCCGTATACATTAGCAGGACTTCTTCGTTGTTATTTCGCTGTTCGTTTTCCTCTGCTTCAACTGTTCTTGGGTTGGTTGCGGAGTAACAGAGATTACTTTCCAAATTCGGTTCTCTCTTTTCTTCGTTTTCACTTTTGGTGTCGTTAACTGTCACATCCTTTAAAAAAACACCATATTTATCGGGGAGCGAGCTTGCTCGAGTGCCCTATGGTCTGGAAACCGATTGCAGTTCATATCATTGATTCCTCTCGGCCGATCATTGATTTGACCTTTTGAAAATGCAGAGGTGCTCTCGGTGAAGTTATTGGCGCTTCCTTATAAGGCTCTGTTTTGCAGTGGTTTAGAGTGATAACAAAGGGAGGGATGATGATTGTGGTTATAGATGTTGCAGGGCGGTCAGTTGCACCATTTTGAACAGTGATTCTGCTGTAGACATTTGAAATACAAATCATTCTGTTCACTGCAGTCGCGCCTTTCGTCTGGGGTGTTGAAATTGCTACACTGGAATGCATGGTGATCAGTCCTGAAGCTGAAGGGGCAAGACGTTTGGGGTGTATTTGAGGGAGATGTAGGCTTTCTGATCAATTTGTACCTCCTGCTGTTGAGGCCCGAAAGTTGGGGTTACTTGGGTAGTAGGAGTTGATGGGATGGTCGATCTGTCCTAATGTGACTTCTTTCCTTACTTTGTCTGAGAGTATGTCTATCAATTGATTCGGGGTAGGGTTCATCTGTCCTCCTGTTGTGTCGTATATCTTGGATTGAACGAATCGCGGCAATGTATTGTAAAGTAGTGCTCCACGTCCATATTCCGGCGAGTCCGGTGTGATGAACGTTTACTGCCTGACAAGACGGAGTATTTTTAGGTAGTTCTCCTGAAGTCGTCTCCCTTCGTGGTCGCACTTTGGGAGATTGGCAAGCTCGGTGTAAATCAGGTGGCGCAGGGTTGAGGGGTTGCTGTACATATGATGTAGAATATCCACAGCCGTACTATAATTTTCGTCGGCCACGAGAATACCTTCAATAGGCTGTAAAGCTTGTCCTTGCAAACAACTTTTTAGCAATGAGAATTTCGTTGCGTTGGAAAGGTTTGTTTTCGAGTGGACGAGAGATTGGTACCGGGACCAAAAAGTGGGGAATCGAGGAGGTTTCCGGAGAAACTAGGCATCTCCAGCCTCGATAGCAGGGCAGCGTCCAAATAGTTTAGCGGTAAGGCTCCTCGGATCTTGTGAGCTAGCGAAATCGTACCTTTTAAAAAGAATATGTATGTCCCGATGACAATATATATATAATGTGTATCTCCAGATAGGCGTGTGGATAGTGTATATCATCTGTCCAGATGTGGTGGTCCAGTAGTAGTGTACTATTTATACAGTACAGCGAATAAGAGCATCATACAGAATAACTGGCAGCACAGAATAAATCCAGGACTTCGAGGCGTGGGCGAGGGAAGAAGAAGAATGAACCTATTGATTGATGAGTGGCCTATTTATGCCTCCAGGCCAAAGACCAAAGTTCAGACTGCCATTCCCGCCAGACCACCTACAGTTGCAGACCTAACATTTTTTGATCGCGAACGTCGCCATATTTCCCACAACTTAGGGTCCGTTCTATAACCCGTGTTAGACAACATGAAACGTGTTAGTAACAAAAAATTCAACACTTCATAAAATTCACGCTGGGTAGACTTATCTCTCTAGCTCCTCCAGCCGCTCCTTTAACTCCTTGATCCTGCGTTTAGCTTCCTTCTTCGCATGCGTTGCTTGGGCCAGATTTATGTCGATTTCCACAGACCTTCCTGGTAGGTCGCAGACGGAACTATGGTGTTTATACCTTTTGCAGTGATAACATTTCACGTTGTACTTGCGACAAATATGGTGTTGGAATCTTATTTCAAGGCAGCAGACGCATCTATGTTCTCCCTTCAGTATCGATCTGCGCACTGAGCTTTCCTTGTAAATCTCGCAAGAATCGCTATAGTGTTCTCCGATTCCCCGGCAAAAAACACAACAAATCGTTCTTTTGTCCAGCGTCTTATGACCCCTCGGCTGATGTCCCTGGGTTCACATTTAGGTTCTCTTTTGAGTTCAGCGATGAGATTGTCGAGTTCCTCAATTTCTGCGTAAGCGTCGAAGATCTCTCTATCTATTTGGCGTCTGCGCTGCCACATCATAGCCTCGTATTCTTCTGCTCCTCGTCTACTGCGACATTCCCGTAAATTCCGCATTCTGCTGGATAAACTCCGCTTACTCAGGGGGTCCGGCTCTGACTGAAGCACCTCAGTGCCCCCCTCGCCGTTGCTATCGTCTCCACCATCGTCTATAGCGTCTTCCGAAGCTGCCGGTGGAGACGGTTTCCTAATGGCGTCGGTAACTGCGTTGCGCACGTGGTCTATGCCCGAAGCGATGAGCTCTTGAATTTCCGACGTCTCGTTTTGAACAATCGTTTTCAATTCCTCGAGACAGTTGTGATCGTTGCCCGGAAGAATGCTTTGGAATCCAACTTTCACTGGTTCTCTGACTTCCGTCAAGGCTGATAGCACGGTTTGCTGGAATTTCTCTTCCTGGTGAACTTCCTCGTCTTTGATTTCGTGTCTCAGCTCAGCCAGCGTCGAGCTGTACTCTTCAAGAATGTCCAACTGGTCCGAGATTACATGCTCCAGCTGGTTTTGATCCAGTACAAGCGGTTTTCGTCTGTCGTCTCGTTGTGGCTTGTTGATCAAGGTGTTCCAATCGCCTTCAGATATCATCTCTAAGGCGATTGTCAATGGCACAAGGGCGAATAGCGTGCAGACCTCTGTACGTAGAGGCGTAAATTCAGCCCATGCCTTTTCCCTCAGGGTTTCTAACAATTTTAACTGCGCCCAGCGTTCTTTTGGGTCTTTTTGGATATTTTCAAGTCCTGAATACGACGAAATAGGTCCCTCATAAGGCGAGTCGCTACACGTAGTTGCATGCTTTTGTGTACCATCTTGTTGTACAGCGTGTATGGGTCGGGAAGCGGCGGAATGGCCTTCTTGACTCGGCGTAAGCGTTGAACTTCCTCGTCCAAGTCCATGATCTGAAGGAGTAATGTTGGCGTAAACAGAATGCGTTTTGTTAGCTGTATGTTTTTGTTCACCGATTGACTTTTCTATGTCATGAAGTTTTTTTTGGTTGTTATTTTTAAACGTGAACATCAAACGGGTTGTGATCGTACTGTTTTTTCTCGAGACCAAAACAAGGTGGGTGGTCGTTTTCACGAGATTCGTGTAACGCAAAAAAAGGTCAAAGGTGACTAGACCATAACAGCTCGGTGGAAAATCTTGAATCATTGTAGGCATCCACCGCTTTGGTCTCAATACGAATCTCAAGAGGCACCTGTACTTGAAATTGTTGAATGGCGTCTCACTAGTTTGCGAGGTCTTTGTACTAAATGAACGTCCATGACTACTTGGCTTCAAAAAAGCCTTATAATCATACTTTGTTATGAACGATGGTGATCGAGATGTGCACGGTAGCGCTATGATAAAGGTAGAATGAGCATAAATGAGCGGGATTTATGTACGGTTTGCGCAAGCGTTCGTATCTGGATTCCCATTCGACCCTTGAAAAAGTGAAAGAAGCATTACGCAGAAAAGGAACCACTTTCTAGACCCGGCGCGCGTTTTCTGTGTGGGGATAGCAGTCTTCACATGATGAGAGCTGCGTAGTTGCGTGCGTGGCCGTAGGTTGTAGGGTCCCTATGTCGTAGATTGGTCATGGACTGGGAAATCTGGACAATCACCGTCTTCACTCGATGTTGCTTCTTTGTCGTGCCCCGCCCGCTTGACCCCCTAATCATAGTTGGCGTCCCACCGTCGTCTCAGACAGTTAGAGAGCGACGAAGGACGCGGATCGTCGACTCAGACGACGATACTCCGCCGGCGACGACGTTTACATTCGAATGGGGTCTTACAAACACATATATATATACATGGCAATATGATGACGTATATCTACATGACAGCTCGGCAATTGCTTTTCTTGATGGATGTAGTCGCATCGTAGCTGCCGTGAGGGTTGCGGGCTTCCGGCAGTCGTGGTGAAGGGGACATCATGGTGAAAATAACAGAATTAGTGTTACAATGAGTGCGACATCACGACCTTGTAGGAGATGAGTGCATGAGTTGCTTCTCCGTGGCAACCTGCTTACCTGTTAGCCTTCCGATGCTTACCTGGTGGCCAGTAATGATCAAGCCGATGAACTCTGCTGTGATGACAGTCACGTTTGAAGTACTCGCACACTCTAGGGGTTAACAAAGTCAGCTGGCTCATTAATTCAATCCTGTCAACGAGTTAGATGGCACTGCTCTATCTTTGGCGTTAAGCCCCCCTCTGGATAGGGTGGATTTTGGGAGTAGCAGAATATGGGTCTCTCAGTGATCATATTGATTTATCAGTCTTACATTCGTTATATCACAGACATATTATTTGCATAAGTAGCATTTATA